GATAGATATCTCAGGAAAGGTCTTTGTAAATGCATGTACCACTTTCAAGGGAACACAAGAGACAGCTACTACCAAGCTATTTGATGTACAGAGCAACAGGGCATTCATTTCTGGTAAGGAATAATCCTACACAACAGGATTCTAAAGAGAATAGCACTTAAAAAGAAAACAGAATACTTCACGTGTGGCAGATTCATGCTCTTCCTTACATTATTGATCGTAGTTCCAGAATAATAAGTATTAAAAAGAAAAAAAAGGTTTGCTACCGACATAATAGGAAAAGATGATCCCAAGAGGATTCTCAGGCTTCCTTGCATGTTATCTTCTGTGCCGAAATGAATGGCACAAGGCTTAGCTGAATTGCTGCTTTTCTTTTCAAAGTAGCTCATGTAAATGCACATGAACAGAGAATCCATCTACCTGTGAGACCACAGGACAAGAGCATCACTCTTCCCTTGTACCTACAAAGCAGTATTGCCCCTAGACATGGCTTTTGATTAGACTTATAGGGAAAAGGACACACACACACAAAGTGGCAGGTAATGAAATTAAAACATTGATCATTTTGGTCTCTGATCTTTCCACTGTAAAAAGTGAGTTATTGTGCAGATGCACAAAATGTCTAATTATATGGGCTAGAAGATGTCTGTCCTGAGTGCTTTGAACTACACTTTAATCCATAACTTGTCCTCATATATTGACCAACTAATGTTCATAATATTATGTAAAACAAGCAGTAAAGTTCAGCAAAGACCAAGACACCACTGATACAGCCCTCACAAGGTTATGAGAAACAGCTCTGTTTCATGGCACACATCACTATTTTGAAATCTGCTGTTACCTCAACTCCAGGGGTTCAAACCCTCAAGCTCTGATACCTGGGGATGGTCTCAGGGCAATGATAAGCATCACTGAGGTCCATGCTACGACCCAAAGGGCTGTGGTACCACATTGTCCACTGAATTCCCACCATAAACCAGCTGCAGTCGCCCCTCATCCTGCTACACCCAGACATGTTTCTCCTTTCTGCACAAATCCACGTGCAGATTTTCATAAAAGTTTTCCCATTTTGCTCCAGTTACAAGCCAACAGCACATGATTACACTGCTTTTAAAAATACATTTTTAAATGCCCAAAGGTGCTGATTTATAGGAGTTTTCATGAGCATGAACAGCAGGATTACTTGGGAATTAGGACTTTCTCAGACGATGCTGAAGCTGCATATCCCTCCAACACTTTTTTTTAAAATTCCTGTCATGAAACAAGCCTGTCAAGCTGTGAGCATTAATGCAATTAACCCCGAATAAAGATGAAGTGACTTAAAAAATCAGTTTTGATACATTCTGGCCCTTAATTACCAACTTAATAAAGATAAAGTGAAATACATTCACCAGACACCCTCTCTTTGATGTTGTAACCTCTCAGTGCATAAGATGCTTAAAAAGCAGCACTAGTGCATAGGATAAGTCTGTAATCCAACCTGTCCTCATCAAGAGCTTTTGAAGCAAGATTCAACTTCTGGTAAAAGGTGTTTGCAAACCAATTTGGTTCCTTGAGATTATTGGAAAAAAAAAAAATCAGAAGATATTCCTAACTAACCTACTTTAATCCTTTATATTAGCACAAATTTGGTGGACCTCTCAGAAATAAGTCTACACTTCCACAAAGATTTATCTACTGCCATTCATGTTATCAAATGTTAATTTAGAAAGCAAATTAAACCTGAAGAAAAGGCCATGTCACTCCCCTTTATGGCTAATAACAGCACCTGGTATAGGTATTTGGAACCCTCCCCAGGTGCTACACGAGGAATTTCAATTCCCAGCTTTTGCCCACTGAACTGCACCTAAGTCGAGTGACTGACATGGCTGAAAGCCACAAGTACACC